AACAAATTTTGGTTTCACATTTTCAAGCAATATCACATGTTATGGAAAAATTCAATTCTATAATTTTTATTCTACGTAGTATTATATAATCCATCTATATAAATCTAAAATCCTAATTTGTATTTTTTTTATCTACACTAAGAAAAAAATTTGTGGTGTTAAATTTTAATAAATATTTCTTTGAAGTGTCCTAATGGAATATTTACTTATGGTAAATAAATATTTAGATAAATGAAAAAAATGATAGTTGATTCAAACTAATGATTCTTAGATCTAATAAATACGTCTTTAAATTTATTAAATGTTTCGCTGGAACTATTCAAAGAAATATTTATTAAAATTTAGTAAATTTTTTCATAGTGAATAAAAGTACCAAATAAATAGTAATTGTTTAATATTGAATATGAGTACATATTTTTATTTTTCTCATTAGAACTTCTATATAATTCCTTCTCAGATTTCTAATTATTGTTTTATTTTGTTAATCTTATTGGTAATGGGTTACAATTAATTTTTTAACAACAAATTTTTATCATTTTGTTTCGATCATTTATTTGCGATTGGCCGCTAAGTCGATGTTACACGATACTGAGCATGCGCATAGCTGTAGCCAATAAAATTTAGGCATGTACTCCCCCGCATTTCAGAATAACCCCCCTCGCCTATCTTCGGAGCTAATGCTCTGTCCCTATATTTCTATGTCCATGGTTCAGCCTCGCCATCCGTCCTCCTTCCGACGGTGTCATCTCTGAACAAGTAGGAGAACTAAATGGGGAAATCTCCGATTCTTCAGGTGCGTTCGGCAATTTAAATCGGACACGTCGGATTGTACTTTTATCTCGAAAATCGTTCGGCAATTCATATTTTTCTGCTCTGTACCATCCCAATTGCGTTCGTTATTAACATTTTTAGAGCAAGTCGAGCTCCTCAACTTGATCTGGATTCAAAGGGCGAGCTCACAGAGGAATGTTCGTTTTCCCGCGAAATTTATAAATACCTATCTAAACATAACCTACTTATTAATTGCTGCTTTAAAAAATATTTGTAGTGTGACGTTCACGAGCACTAAGCGACGTTTTATTTTTCGCTTTTAAAATGTCTGAAATAAACAACGAACTTCACGATATAGTGCAAATTGGTAACAAATTTTTCTATAAAAAAAGTGGTAAGTTTCTATTTGTTTTATGGAATTTTCATGGGTTATGTCTTCAAACTTGAAATTTTCCAAATAAAACATATTTTGTTGCGTAAATGAAGGCTAATTACATCAGTCATTTATTTATAACTGTACAAATAAATGTTCAGAAATTTATAAATTTTTTTACCTTTACAGATGATACTTATGAATCTATACAAATAACAGAGGAAGAAAATAAAGAAAATTTTGTAGAACAATGTGAAGTTCAAGTTGAAAAATATGAGAAGAAAATTTGGACAAATGAGTCTATTTTGAGACTAATAAATTTAGTTGCAGAATTTGAAGAACAATTTCAAAATTCAATAAAAAAACATATTTGGATGAAAATCGCCAAAATTTTGACCACTGATTTGGGTACTTCAATTACATGGCAGCAATGTGACACCAAGTGGAAAGGCTTATTAAAAATATATAAAGATATCAAAGAACACAACTCGTCATCTGGAAGAAATCGAAAAAGATGGGAATATTTTGAAGTAATGAACGAAATGCTTCATAACAAACCAGAAATTACACCTGTAGCTACTTGTAGTAATACAAAAGGATTGATGGTATATAAAGAATTGAGTAGTACTGATAAAAGTACAGAAAGTGAAGAAAATATCACGGATGACAAATATTCCTGCGACAATAATAAGAGAAAATCTTCATCCATATATACAACTGACTTTTTTCGCTAATTATACAGAATACCCCCTCCACCTCCGATTTCGATAAAATTAGGCTCATTCGACGCGTTTTTGCATAAAACGAAAGAATCTTGCAGAAATAAGTGTCGCTCTGCTCTACGAACCGAGATATTTAATGTTAAAGTTGACGACTATTCAGGTTAGGAAATCTGTCATACCGACATGTATTTAGTACTACGAGTATGCCTTCTTCATGCTGTCTGACCTCGTGCGCATGCGCTTGGTATTGTTTGAGTCCAACAGAATGCACCAAATTTGAAATTAACACTGCAAAACAAATATATTGTTGTCAGACACGAAATTGTACACCTTTCCCTGTTCAGAAACATTGAACTTTCCACGCGAAGTAACTTTCTCCCCTCCTCCCCCTGCACAGGGGCGCACGACTTCTACGATTGTACTGTCGGGGCAGACCTCTGTCCATCTCTCCCTCCCCCCCTGCTGAGGGGCGCACGACTTCTACGATTGTATTGTCGGGGCAGACCTCTGTCCACCTCTCCCTCCTCCCTTGCTGAGGGGCTCACGACTTCTACGATTGTACTGTCGGGCCAGACCTCTGTCCACCTCTCCCTCCCCCCCTGCTGAGGGGCGCACGACTTCTACGATTGTACTGTCGGGGCAGACCTCTGTCCACCTCTCCCTCCCCCCCTGCTGAGGGGCACACGACTTCTACGATTGTACTGTCGGGCCAGACCTCTGTCCACTTCTCCCTCCCCCCCTGCTGAGGGGCGCACGACTTCTACGATTGTACTGTCGGGGCAGACCTCTGTCCACCTCTCCCTCCCCCCTGCTGAGGGGCGCACGACTTCTACGATTGTACTGTCGGGGCAGCGCATAGTCGAAACCTATGTGCGACAGTACAATTATACTTGTTCTCATGTGTAAATTAAAATTTAAAATTAAATTTTTCAAAATAAAAATTTATTAAAATATATAAAATAAATGTATATAGATATATATATATATAATGTACAAAACAAAAATATTGCACGAAACATATTAGTATCTAAATACAATGGAGTGTAAGAAATGTGATAATGATATAAACATTAATACAGAAACATTAATGTATAATTGTAGAAGACGGTACTACGTAAGAAATGGAAACATTTATGTAGCTGTACTGGTACTTGGTTCTGCATCGTCAGCTGCTACTGGCTGGTCATTGAACGTGGATATCGGAGGATACATTTCCGCAATTATGTCGAAGAAGATTTCAATCCGTTCTGCATAGTTATAGACGCGTTTGAAGAGAAATTCGGACAAATATC